GAGAATTATTTTATTATGTTTTATTTTTATTATTTTATTATTTCCCTTCGACGTGACTTTACCGAAAGAACCAAGAAAAATGTTTTTTGTGTATTGCATATGAATAGTTACGCAAATATCAGCTGCTTGGCAAGTAAACCCTCGACAATACGGCCACACATCCGGCTCTGTGGTGCTGGTGTTCTCGACAAGGCTGAGAGCATTGTGCATGCAATGTGGTGGTCACATGACGTGCATGCAAGGCATGGTGGGAGCTGTGCCCGACTGCTGTTTGTGAACAGCGTTTCCAGTTTTATCGTCATTTACTGAACGTTTTGGATTTGAAGATTCGAAAACACTTGGTCGGCATGCCATGGAACTAGATATGGAAGTAACGTAGAGGTTCATGACCTCATGCTCTCGGCTTGCCTGGTACCGCTGATTTAGCGAAGCGGTAGTTACATTGTGTGGAGTGGTGGCGTCGTGGTTAGCGCACTGTGTTATGTGTGTGTGTTGAACTTCTTTCGCGCCGTACGTAGCCGACCGAGCGAATCGGAGGTGCGGGGGAAAAGACAGCAAGCTTAACACAAAAAGTCGTTCTAAATAAATTGGTTTTAATAGAAGAAATGGGTGTTCAATCGAGGTGAACATAACACTTCGCATATTACAAAAACACGCGTTTATAACTTAAAAGTGATTTAAATCAAGTTGCCACGCGGCCGACTTAGCAACACTTGAGCAGAACAACATTTGAGTTGTTGGACAGCGATCCACGCAGCACTTTAATTAATATTAATTGACGGTGATGGGCGGCCAAAAAAAATACAAAGATCCCCCGTATAGCTTTAACAGACTGTTGGTGCAAGTGCTGTTTACGAGCACCTATGAAGGCCGGCACGGCACACGAGGGGGTGGATGGCCAGCAATCACGCCCGGCTGCCTTTTAGACTCATACACATAGACTCGAGACAATGCATACCGCAGTCGGCCTTCCAAAATATGTTCTGCCAACTGTGTTATTGGTACTGGACTTTGCTGGGACAAGTACTGCACTTTGACGCGTGTGCTCAGATAACCACACACGGACTCGGACGGTGTGTGAGGGGGGGACCTCATCCAGCAGTGGAGTGACTTAAAAAAATGTTTTACCAGCGATTCTGTGCGGACCCTGCGTTTTTTATCAACTCAAAATAAAATGTCTTTGCATCTGAATGCCGCAACTAATTCAAGAGCCACAACTTGCTTTAAAAAATTTAAACAGTTGTATTTAGTATGTCATCGTTTAGAATTGTCTAATTTTACGTTGAGCATTCATGTGATGATGGCACTGAGTGACAGGTTTGTGCCAGAAAAGTTGCCTGTGTGTGTAATAAAAATAAATTTGAATTGAGTAGACTCGCTCACCCACTCGCTCACCCACTCACTCACTCACTCGCTCACCCACTCACTCGCTCACCCACTCACTAGCTCGCCCACCCACTCACCCACCCACCCGCTCACCCACTCACCCACCCACCCGCTCACCCACTCGCTCAAACACTCACTCGCTCACCGACTCACTCACCCACCCGCTCACCCACTCGCTGACCCACTTGCTCACCCACTCACTCACCCACCCACTCACTCACACTCACTCACCCACCCACCCACCCCCTCACCCACCCACTCACCCACTCACCCACCCACTCACTCACCCACTCTCACTCACCCAACCACTCACCCACTCACCCACCTACCCACCCACTCACCCACCCACCCACCCACTCACCCACCCACTCACCCACTCACTGAAGTATAGAATTGTCAATGTGTGTGGGTACTGTATGAAGGCGAGGAGCGGTGGTGTAGCGGTTAGCGCGCTGCCCTACGATTCCCAATCACGGCCAACACCGGTGACAATCATCAACATTGGTTTTGGGCCTCCCCTAGGTTAACTCAGCCTCAAATACGAGTACTTTGTGCGGTGTGTAAACTGCCCCACAGTCTGTTCAAGGCTCTATATACGGGGGATGTATGTATTTGTATGAATGCGTTGGCGCTTTTGAGTGGCAGATGTTGCGCCAGTGTCAAAACAAATACATTTGACTCGACTGTTACGTGAGGGCCATATTTGCGTGTGAAGAGCAACGCGCGCGCGTGCACCTAGCCTGGCACAAGCGCCGTGGTGACATCACCACCACTTCGTTGCGAATGGCTGTTGTTGTGTTAAAGTATCAGATATCGCGTGCACGCGTTGTGGTTTAATTGTAAATAAAAAAAACCAGCAAGAATGTGTGCTGTGGGTATTTACAGATATAAACTAAAACAATCAATAAATCCATGAACGCCTTTTGGCGTCCTCTGGTCTAACACCGTTTGAGACGAGGCTCAAAAGAAAGCTGTCTCTGGTGTGGAACACTCAGTTTCAAAGACAACGCATCATATATGATCAGAGTACGTTTTTGTTTGCATTCTGACCACACGCATTGTGGTTATTGCAGACATGATTCCTCGTAAAAAGGTTTCAGTTTGGTGTTTTAACATCTTAACACAGCTGTTTTGTTGCCAGAAAAAAAAGGGGAAAAACCTATGATCATAAATCCATAAACTTTTGCCCATTGCTGTTTGCCATCCACAGAAGGGCACACACCGCGTAAGACTGGGACAATTTTCACCGAGCGTATGTAAACAGATGGTGTTTGTAGTGCACGTAACTGTACACGCTCGGGTCATAATAACTTACGGCTAAAGTAAAAAGGTACAAATGCTCGAGACTCAAGAGATGCTCCCCCCACCCACCCTCCTCCTCCTAAGTTGTATTTGGCCTCCTCTTCCACGCTGGCCAGACCGTCTTGGAAGCCTTGCGAAGTACCCACGGTTTACCCCAACACACGCCACCTTGCGATAATAGAGGGCGCCACGGTGGTGAGATGTTGACTGCCTCGCTTGGTATACAGGAGGTCGTGGGTTCGATCCCGACCCTGACTGTGGTATATTTGGAGTTTGCGTCTCTCTCTCTCTCTCCCATGGTCGCATGGATGTGTATCCGGGCACTCCGGTTTTTCTCTCCACATTTAAAATCAGCATCACGCGTTTAGAATATTTGGCTGCACGCACGTGCCTACACACGTACGTGCACACGTGTGTACGCACACACACACGTGTGCACGTACACACGTGTGTGCGTGCGTGTGTGCTTGAGCCCTCGGGGATGGTTTAACAGGAGAAGAGGGGAAAGTCCTCTTAGAGTCCGTGGCGTTTGTTGTGACTCATGCGGGAGATGGTGTGCCGGTGGGAGATGTTGACTACCTCGCCTGGTATGCAGGAGCTCGTGGGTTCGATCCCGACCCTGACGGCCCGTATATTTGGTGTTTGCGCGTCTTTCTCTATCCCCGTGGTCGCGTGGATTTTTCTCCGGGATCCTCCGGTTTTTACTTTCACATTTAGAATCAACGTGCGTTTAAAGTATTTGGCTGATATATAAATGTCCACATGATGAGCCACTTCGTTGAGCCATCATTTGTGGCCAGGTCGCTTCTGAAAAAGAGCTGTATGGCTCAGTGGGCTTTAGCTGGTAAAATAAAAAATAGTTTATTTTAATAGCAGGGATGATGTCTAAGGCACTGTACGTGCCTTCAAGTGGCACTCATTGCCATTGGCCGCCCAGAGCCGCTGGTGGAAATTCCACATTCCCACGGCGAGAGCCATTCTTCCCTCGGCACAGCCGCTGATAGACTTCCCTCGAAAGTGGTGGTGCTCATTTTGTATCACCCACCATGGAGGGATGATGATGATGGACTGTGTAAACCTTTTGACCAGGATTTGAACTTGCGGAAAATTATCACCACCCTCCTTCTTACCCTCTACCCCTGATTTATTTATTAAGGCCCACATTGTGCGTTCTGTTTCGACAATGTGCGGCGATTTTCAGGGTTCAGATACAACTCTTAAATCGCGCGCAGCATGCTTCTCGTGTGCCCGCGGAATGTATTTGCTCATCAAACACCAACACCACACGTGCTTTCAAGATTGCGAGATGCTTCGGCGCATCCGTGGTTTAATACTGAACTGCTCAATTCGGAGTGTTCTATGAGGTCTGTAGTAGTGGTAACAAACAAAAACACACAACCATTGCAAACTCGCATACAAAGAAACCCCCGTCTTAGCCTGAACCAACTGTTGGGGCAAGTGCTGTTAGCGAGCACCTATGAAGGCCGGCACGGCACCACGAGGGCGTTGATGTTGCCAGTCCCACGCCCGGCCGCCTTTGTCTCCCCAGTGGCGATGTTTAACCACCACGCCAGGTAGGGACAAGCGCTGTCAGCAGCGAGCAGCAGCGCCTACATTGTGGCACACACAGAGTGGGGTGGGTTTGTCCGACACCGCACCCGGCCGCCTTTGTCTCCCTGGCGATGACGTTTACACACCGAACCAGGTACTCGTTTGAGGCTGCGTCGACCTCGGGGAGGCCCGGGACCGGTTCAGATATTCGCCACGGTTATCGACCGTGAGCGGGAATCGAACTCGGTTCGCCGGGTTGGGTCGCGCGGCGCGCTAACCAGTGCGCCACCGCTCCTCACATGAATACACACGCTCAGGGCACGGGTAGCACGTTCAAAGTGTCCCCGGTGTGAAGGACAATGCTGCTGCGGCATCGCAATGCCGTGTTACCGAAAACCCACCGAAACGAATCGGTTAACCACAGAGCGTCTAGATTCACCGCACAATTAACAAGCAACAACAACAACACGACCCGTCAACAACACTCGTCAATAACACTGTGGCCTTAAAAACAAGATATATAAGAGGTGACGTTTCGGGCAATAGACCTTTTTATGTGCTATGAAGGTATACTGCCTGAAATGGTGCCGATTATATAATTTCTTTTTCTTTTACGGCAGTGTTGTTGACGGGTGTGTGTTGAGTTGGTTGTTGTTGTTATTTGTGCTTGTGCATAATTGTCAGTGGGGCAACAGCAGCATCACCTAAATAGTTTCATAATTCACCCCCCTTCCCCCCTCCCCCCTCCCCCCCCCCGTAGCGTTTTTATGACAATAACTTGATGCATTTAAATTACACAATAAAACAATGACAATGATTGCGTCCTTCATCATAACGATACAATAATCATATTGCGGTTACGCAAAATTTAGCATCTCTACGTTTAAAAATGTATATCTGCGAGGAAAAATGTAACCTTTGCAAAAACAAAATCGACTTGGGCAACGTTGCAGCTATACGTTTGTACGACTTCTAAAAACAAAACGGTGCACGTGTCATGTTAAAGCTGTTGGAAACAAACAGTTTTGTTTTTTCGGTAAAGTCACGTCGGTAGAAATAAAATAAAGTAAAACAAATCACGACGTTTCGATCGCAACACAAACAATCTTCATCGGGTGGGACACCCACGGCGAGACAATGCTGATGAAGATTGCTTGTGTTGCGATCGAAACGGCGTCGATTTGTTTTACTTAATTTCTACCTACGTGACTTTACCGAAAGATCCAAAGAATATGGATTTCTGTTGGAGCACCTTGACCTCGCTTGCGTATGCTACATATCGCTAGTTGAAATCGGTGGAAAGCTCTCCCTGGGAGATGATCTCCGGCCGGACACACGTATACATTACAAACACGCAAAGAGGTGCGTTAGCTTCTTCTAACCGAAGACATTCACGAGTTCCTTCAACCTGCGCGCCGTCGTCGCTAACACTATTGTAAACTGTTTAGTTAAAGCTCCAACACCGCCGCCTTCACCTCGCTTGGGGCTCGCTGCGCGAACTTCGCGATGGCGCTTTGCCGGAGAAAGGAGGAAATTGCCACGTGGATTCGGGTGGAAGCCAAAAAACAAATGAATGTTTACACCATTGGTACCTCATTTGCCAGTAAAAAATATGATAATTGGTGTTTTACCTTCTTATCTGGCAACAAGACTAGGCTCTAAGGAAAGCTGTCTCGGGTGTGGACCAATCAACTTCAAGGACAGTGCATACATTATCAGAGTTATGTTTTTAGTTTGCATTATGACTGCAGGTATTGTGGTCTATGCAACCATGACTCCTCGTAAAAAAAGGTGTCAGTTTTGTTGCCAGATAAGAGGGTAAAAAACCAATTATCACAAATTAATGTCTCAATAGAGCTGTTCTTCCTGGGTCAGATCTCGCGAATATGAATGCGTGCCGTCGAACACGCCAATTAGTGAGGTTTGTCACGTAAAATCAAAACGTGCTCCATCGCCTCCTTCCTCTGTCACGACATCTCATTCCTTTTCCAACCCCGATTACTGACGGCCGTACTTACCCCACCCATCCTTCACTTATTTTTGCCATTTTTTTCTACCGTGGTTGGCAAGCGTTGTCAAGCGCCTTGACGAAAGGCGCCTTATGAATCCAAAATGGAATAGAATCCCAATTTGTTACTGCTTCAGCACACCGGTGTGTTGGAGAGTAAACCCACGACATCACAATTGCGGGTTTACTCCCCAACACACAGCCGACGTGCTCTACTAGTAAGGGATTGGCACGTTTTGCTTATGCGACAAACCTTACTCCATCACAGGATTTCGCGACCAATATCACCCATAATAGCGGTGTTCTTTCGGGTTATAGCGCGTAAATTGACCGTGTCGGGTGGTGGCGGGTTTAACGACACATTTATATTTACGCGATCTCACCCAAAAAACCTCTACGATGGACAATATTGATCGCGAAAGCCTCCTCGTGCTACTACTACTACTGCCTGTTAAACAAATCAAAGCCTTCGTTATGCTGACTGCCTCGGACGGCCAGAGTATGCTCGGGGTCCAGGGGACGTCGCGGCTACAAAACAAACAAGCGATGGGAGGCGGATGGATGGATGAGTCTCGTGAAGGGATCTGCAGTGGAACCCCTCTGAACGACGCTACTTGGTTCCACGAAACTGGTCCTTAAGTGATTTGGTCGTTAAGCGAGTATCGGACAGAGACGTCGTCGGCTTGATTCGTTCCGACAGCATCGAACATTACCCTTTTTCACCCAAAAAAAGGTACTTTATAATATTTAAACAATGGATATTAATACATAAAGACACTAACAACATTATAAACACATACTATTAAATAAACATGGTTAACCAATGCATGAATTAATATGCACTGTACCTAAAACTGCCTGTCGTTAACAGGGGAATGGTCGATAAGTGAACACATTGGGTTCGATCTTGATTTGAAGCTTTTGTAACTGCAGGAATCCATACTCTTTGGTTCTTTCGGTAAAGTCACGTGGGTAGAAAATAAAACATAATATATTTTTTCCGCCCGAGGACGACCATCTTGTGTTGCGATCGTAACGTTGTGATTTATTTTATTTTATACCCACGTGACTTTACCGAAAGAGCCAAAGAGTATACATTGGGGTCTATGGAGGCCCGTCGTGAAGTGATTCGTCGTTAGTAGGGCTGGTCGTCAAGAGGGGTTCGACTGTAGAGCAAAGCAGCGAAGAGGGATGGGACGTGCGTTCCCGCCACGGAGATGGAGTGACGAGATGCCCGAATTTTTTTGCGGGAGCGAGATGGGCAGTAGTGTCACGGGTCGACGGCGAGCCAGCAGTGGATAGACACTGGTTGATGGTAGTGATGACGATGACGATGGCCGTCAGTTGGCTTAGGTGAGTGATTGAACACACGACAGCCGCGCGTGCACGCAGGCAGTTAATGCAACAACACAATGTCGGAACTGTGAAGTTAACAGCTTCCTCTGTGATACAACAAAAACAAATGCATGAGTAGACATTTGTGGCCAGAATTAAGGAGTAAATTATTATAATAAATACATTTCAGCAATTACCGATCGCTAACCCTAACCATTAATTGCCCATCTTTTTCTCTTAATACTGTATACGTATTGGGGAGGCATGGTGGAGCAAGTGCGTGGTAGCTAACGAACCTGAAGCCACCCACCAGAGTTCCCAGCCCATGGCAAGCTAACTGTCCTTTGGGAATTCCTGCTCCTGTGCGTCACGAAGGTGAAGTATGGTCAAACAACCTCCACCACAGCTTGAGGGGGAGGATCTAATCCAACAGTAGGGTTGCCAACGGGCGTCACATTATTACAAAGCATTCTTAAATTACATGCACATGTGGAAATATTTTATAAAAAGCTTACATGAATTAATTAGTGTCATTGGAGTTATTTCTCCATGCCCTCGTAGTCTTGAGCTTTGGCCTACAGAGGCGAGCGCGCACACCGTATGTACAAATATTAAATACACACGCGTGGTTCATGGCTTTGAAGCCACAACTTGGTCGGTCAACAGCGGGTGTCCAACGAATGAGACTGGCCTCTGCCATGGGAATGTGGAATTTCCCACCAGGGCTACCAACAGAGATGGGTGCCCACGCTACGGTGGTGTGAAATCTCATTGCAGAATAGTTCTCGTTTCACTGGACGACGACGATTGTGCCATTTAAAGTCTCCACCACTTCTTGTATTGGCAGCTGTTCGGCGCTGTCGTGTCGCCATCACCGGATGGGCGGCCCTGCCGATGGTGCCTTCACCAACCGGGCTGAAAATCCGCGGCCCGACGTCTTAGGGACAGCGGCACGCTCCCCAACGTGCGAGTGTGGAATCCCCCACGGCCGGCCCGGCTGGATCGCGCGGCGAGATGGCAGCCTCGCCGACCGACGCTACAAGAAAGGCATCAAGTTGGGCTTGACCAGCAGCAGCACTCCGAAGCCCAGCACCGTGACGACGATCGTCGACACGATCACCAGCGTGGCCACGGGGCTCCGGCCGGCTTCCTCCACCTCCACCACGCTCCACGGGGGGCACCCCTGGGCGGTGGCGTTGAGGAGGGGGACGATGGACGGTGCCGCCGCCGCCGCCGCCGCGCCGTCGATCCGTGAGTCCATCGGCGGGGGCCTAGCGACGCACGTGGCGTCGCCGCGGTCCGCAACGTCGACGCGCGACGCGTCCAGCGCCCCGAGCCAGCCGTCGACGGCGCAGCAGTCGAACGGGTTGCCGCTCACGTGCAGCGCGAGCAGGGTGGCCGACAGAGCGGCCAGCCCGTCCACCGGCAGGAGCGCCAGCGCGTTGTCCCGCACGTCGAGCCTCTGGCAGGCCGTGGCGAAGACGCCGGGCGGCACGGCGCTCAGGTTGTTGGCGGGCGCGTCGAGCCGCCGCAGCTTGCGCAGCGACGGGAAGTCGACGGCGTGCCACCAGCGCCACAGCGCGGAGCCGCCCAGGTCCAGCACCTCTAGCGTGTGCTCCAGGCCCCGCAGGAGCGTCCCCGGCAGGCCGGCGCCCGACGGCGCGTCCGGGGCTCCCATGTCCGGGTTCGATGACAGGTTGAGGTGCGTCAGCACCGTGCCTTGGAACGCGCCGGCTCCGATCGCTCGGAGCCGGCACTCGCTGAGATCCAAGTGCCGCAAAGAGGCGGCGCCCGTGAATCGGACGCAATCCTCGCTTCTCCTGCCGTGGCCGAATCTACCGCCACCGCCGCTGCTACCACCACTGCCACCACCGCCGCCGGTGTGCCGCTTCCTGCGACCGCTCCGGCTCCCGCCGCTCCGGCTCCTGCCGCCCCCCCCGGAGCGATTGCCGGCCGGCCCGGCCCCGCACACGGCCGTCACGGCGTTCTGGCTCAGGTCGAGCTCCTCGACCGCCCGCAGCTCCTGGAAGAAGGAGGGCGGCAGGCGGGTGAGCTCGTTGTCCCGCAGGCTGAGCCGCCGCAGCGAGGGCCCCATGCTCGCCCACAGGGGCCACGGGGAGGCCCTCCTCGCCGCGTTGGTGTCGGACCGCCGCCCGCCCAGCGACTCCAGAGAGTTGTGGCTCAGGTCGAGCGTCTCCAGGCGGCGCAGCGTGCAGTTGAAGACCTCGTCGAGGTCCCGCAGGCAGTTGTTGCTCAGGCCGAGAGCGGTCAGGGCGGGCGTGGAGGCCAGCAGGCGGTGGGGCAGGCGCGCCACGGCGTTGTGGCTGAGGTCGAGCGTCCGCAGGCTGGCGAGGCTGACGAACGTCGAGCCGGACAGGTCGTCGTCGGACACGTCGAGGAAACGCCCGGCCAGAATGTCGCGGGGCGGGTCGCCGCCGCCATCGCCGTCGACCTCCAAGCGGAACTCAAGAGCCTCGGCGGGTGAGTGGAACGCGATGCGGTTGTGCGAGGCGTCGAGGTGCAGCAACACGTTGTCCCTGGGCAGGCGCGGGAAGGTGAGCAGCCTGTTGTGGCTCAGGTCGAGCGACTCGAGGCGGTAGGGGCCCAGCGAGTCGTCGCTGTCGAAGTGCTCGATGGCGTTGCTGCTCAGGTTGAGGCGGCGCAGGCCGGGCAGGCCGAAGGCCGAGATGCACACCAGCGAGTTGTAGGCGAGCGAGAGGCTCTCAAGGCGCGAGAGGCCCGAGCCGAACGCCCCGGGTGCGACGCTGTGGATGGCGTTGAACTCCAGGTCGAGGTGCGCCAGCGAGGGCAGCGACGCGAAGGCGCGCGGCGCCAGCGACCGCAGCGAGTTCCCTGCGAGCGACAGCGACGCCAGCGACGAGCTGTTGAGCTCGGCCAGGAGGCCCTCGAGGGCCGCGTCCCGCAGGCCGTTGCGCGACAGGTCGAGGTGCAGCAGGCCGGGCGGCCACGACAGCGCCCGCGCCAGCGACCGAGCGGCGACGCCGCCGTCCGCCCGCGCGCCCAGCCGGTTCTCCGACAGGTCCAGCCGCTCCAAGTCCCGGAGGCCTGAGAAGGAGTCGTCGGCCACGGCGTCGAGGCCGTTCCTCCGTGCCGTGAGCACGACCAGAGAGGCGTAGCGGCCCAGCGGGCCGGCGGAGAGCGACGCGATGGTGTTGTCGGACACGTCCAGCTGGAGCGTGTCGCCGGGCAGCGAGGAGGGCACGGCGGAGAGGCCCTGGTGCCGGCAGGAGGCGTGACGCGCCGTCTGCGGACGCGGAACGAGAGCGGGCAAGCGAACGGATCGGTCGTCAGTCGTCGGCCAAGGGAGCCGTCCCCCTTCTCGTCGTCGTCATTGTCCCGCGGCCGCCACCGTGAGGCGTCGCAAACCAAAATGGCCACCAGCTGTAGGACCGCACGAGGAGCAGAATTCCTTGTGGCTTCGTCTTCCCTGTGGACGCCCCTATCGGACGCGTTGCACTAATCGGCTGTCGCTCTGCCGTTGTTCTTGATCGGAGGCCGTCGATCGGCTGATCGACTGACTGTATCGCTAAAGGTGTCTCGCAGCGCACGGCAGATAATGGAATGTACCCTAAAAGCGATGTACACTTGGGCAAAATAGTACTCAACTCAACCCAATTAGTCTCTATGGTCAAGGACATGGTACTATCTCCTGATGATATCCTCGTCAGTTTTGATGTAGTATCTCTGTTTACAAAAGTCCCAGTACCTGACACCCTAACAATAATTGAGGACTTGGTCCAACATGGATTGAATTTGGATGTACCTGCGCTGGTTAGGCATTGCCTCACCAACACTTATTTTACCTGGAATGGCACCTTCTACAAACAGAATGAGGGTACCCCAATGGGCTCCCCCTTGTCACCAGTGATAGCCAACATGTTCATGGAAAAGTTTGAATCAGACGTCATCCAGACATCCACCCTGCGTCCTTCCCTGTGGAAGAGGTATGTGGATGACACTTTCGTCATTTGGCCACATGGCCTCCCAGCATTGAACCACTTCTTGGACCACATCAATTCCAGACACCCATCCATCAGATTCACCATGGAAGTGGAGAAAGATGGTAAACTACCATTCTTAGATATTCTGTTTGAGAGGAGACCTGACGGATCCTTGGGACATTCTGTCTAAAGGAAAGCCACCCACACAGATTCCTACTTGAAACCTGATTCCCACCACCACCCATCTCAAAATAATGATCTCATCAAAACGCTATACCACAGAGCTCATGGCATTTCTCACCAACACCACCTGGCCAGTGAATTAAGACATGTACATCGGGCCTTCAGGATGAACAGATACTCTGACCACACCATCCGCCAAGCTGTTTCTCCCACCATACAGAAACAGCCACTCCGATCAAAACTATCACGTTACCATACATAGCAGGCGTGACTAAAAAGATCTCCAAAATTCTAAACAAACATAAGATCCAAGTCCGATTCAGTACAGTACATAAAATCCGTGATCTAATTCCATCTGTGAAAGATGTCATTCCTGACTTACAATACCCTGGAGTCTACAAACTGAGTTGCAGTTGTGGTGATTGCTACATTGGAGAAACGAAACGTCATATCTCTGATCGTGTCCATGAGCACAAGTCAGATCTGAAACACGGCAAAACTGATTCTTCCGCCGTTGCCAATCATTGCTACAACGCTGTGGGCTCTCATGAAATTGTCTTTTCTGAGACCAAGGTGCTCTGCAAACCTCCTGGCTACCATCAAAGGTTTGTACACGAAGCCATCCAAATATACAAACATGGACATAATTTCAACCGTGATGATGGGTACAAACTTAGTAATCATTGGAAAGAAGTTATTAACCATGCAAAAAAGATTTAACTACTCATATTTGGACCATCTTATTTGACAGGCACTATTCTTCAGTTACCGTATAGTTTCTTCTTATTTTTTCACACACTGGTTTTACCTACTTTAAGTTTTACCACACATATTTGGCAAATCTATAATTAATCCCAGCAACGTAGCAAAGTGCTGTTTCATCTACATAACAAAGGCTCAGTCCCATTCACAGCAGCCGCACCTTTACATCAGCCGCAACTTAACAACTCTTGGAACCTCCCAGTTCAACCAGTCTGCACAACAAAGACTCATTCCTGGCAGCGGTTTCAGCCGCACCACCTCTACATAACAAAAGGCTCAGTCACAATTACACGCACCTTTACATCAGCCGCACCTTAACAACTCTTGGAACCTCCGAGTTCAACCAGTCTACACAACAAAGGCTCATTCCTAGCAGCGTGCTTCAGCTGCACCGAACCTCACAATAATAATATCCAGGGCCTACCTTGACTCCTCCCACCCTCAACCAGTATATATACAAGGACTGTTTTCTTGGAATTTCTCTTACTTGATACAGCTATCGTGCTGTGACGGTTCCACCTGAAGACGGAAGCTTGTGTTGCCTCCGAAACGTCGTGATTTTTATTTTATTTTAATTTTACTTTTATTAATTTTAATTTTTTACCTACGTGACTTTACCGAGAAAACCTAAGAATATGAATCATTGCAGTCACGAAAGCTTCAAATCTAGAATCAAAGGAATAACACGATAAGCGCAGATATCCAGCCAACCGCTTCACCTGTGTTCGTGTTATTATATTGTTAGAGACGAACGACAAGAGGTGGGTCTTTCAACAAGCGTTAATAAATGTTTAAATGTAAAAAAACCTACAGTCTTCATCCTCATCGGAAGCTCTCTGGATCGGCTTTGCACTGGGCGTTTGAACGCGTGTGTGGTGCAAGGATTAGAATTAACGCGCAGGGATGAGTTTCATCGAAAGTGAGATTCTAATCTCGTGACCTCTCCGGGACCCACACTCCGTGACTTCGGCCAGCACGTGGATGGATGCCATCCTCAATGTAATCATCATCAACATCATAATCGTCATCACCCTCATCATCAAAATCAACGTCATCAACATAATCATTAACATCAAAATCCATATCAACATTAACATCTACATCATCATCATCGGCATCAGCATCATCATCATCACCTACATCGTCATCATCAATATATACGTGATCATGAAGATTAGCATGGCTGGCTATGTACGGTGCGAAAGAAGTTCAGCATACTATGGGAACCTCATTTGCCAGTAAAAATATGATAATTGGTTTTTTACCCTTCTATCTGGCAACGAAACTGACACTTTTTTACAAGGAGTCATGTTTGCATAGACCGCAATACCTGCAGTCATAATACAAACAAAAGACATAACTCTGATAATGTGCACTGTCCTTGAAGTTGATTGGTCCACACCCGAGACAGCTTTCCTTAGAGCCTAGTCTCACATGGGTTGGACCAGATGACGCCAAAAGGCGCCTTTTGGCGTCATCTGGTCCAACCCATCATCAACATCATCGTCGTCGTCATCAACTTACAATCAAGCAGCCGGAGGAGTCCAGTGCAGGCACGGTGACGAAGCTGTCTTCTCGGGGCCTAAACGTGGCCCCATGGCCTCGTAGTGTCACCAGGAGATACAACAAGATGCTGACCAACCACATGGTTCCTCCTCCTCCTTCTCTCCTCCTCATCGTCTTCCTTCCTACACCTCTCCTCCTCCTCCAGCAAAGAGCGTCTCTTGTATGTCCGTTCTTCTCGAGTGCCTCGATCTTAGGAGCGGTGCTGCAATTCCCACTTCAGATTGCCTTTCCATGAACCTGCAAGTCAACAGGGTCGGTCGGTCGGTCAGTCGGCATCCTTTGTTCAAACAAGACATTAATCAGTTGCCTGCACCATTGGGTGATGAACGTTTTATATATGTAAACCGCAACCTCCTATTAGCACGGTTGGCTACGTACGGTGCGAAAGATGTAACATGCACAGTGGCGAGATGTTAACTGCCTCGCCTGGTACGCAGGAGGTCGTGGGCTCGATCCTGACCCTGACGCCTGCTGTTGTATATTTGTAGTTGGTGTGTGTCTCTCTCTCTCAGGGTCCTCCGGTTTTCCCCTCCACATTGAGAATCAACATCACGCGTTCAGAGTATTTGGCTGCTAGAAGTTTTCGCACGATCAGCCACTTCGTTTGGCTATCATTTGTAATGGCTTCTGAAAGAGCGCTACATTCTCAGTGAGCTTTGCCTGGCAAAATACAACTAGCAGCAGCAGCAGCTATATGCGTGTGAAGATCGATATTGATTTACAACCCACGGTCAAATCCACTGCTGGATGAAGGCCACCCCATGCAATGCCGGTCACGGATGCGGGTGGTGCGTTGGCGGTGTTTTTACCATACTTCCCCACTCTGTTCAGTGGTGGGTTGTTGAGGGGGTCGTGGGCCCAGGGACCGGTTTAATGGAGATCTCCGGGCCCACGACCCTGTCAACAACCCCCCACCGACGTTAGCCGTGGCCGGGAATCGAACTGGGGCCAAAGCAGGCGGCTTGAGAGAGCGCGCGGTGCGCTGAACCGCTGCACTGCCGCCTGTCCACGTGGCTGGGCAGGCCACGTGGCCGGGCAGGCCACGTGCGCGGCCACAGTCACCGTCACGCGCCTCTCTCTGCTTGTGGCGCAGGGAGGGTACTTTACCTGCCTTAACAAATACAACTAACGAGTGAAGCTGCGATGACTCACGATATCGAGATTAATTTAAAAACAACAACAACACTATGAGACATCTCCTTCACCAGTGGCAAAATATAGTAGTAGGTTTTTACCCTTTAAACTGGTACAAAACTGACATCTTTATACAAGGCATCATGTTTGCAATAACCGCAACACAAGCAGTCAAAATGCAAACAAAAAGAAACAACTCTGATAATGGTAATGATATGCAATCAACTTCAAGGACAGTGCATATCATTACCATTATCAGAGTTGTTTCTTTTTGTTTGCATTTTGACTGCTTGTGTTGCGGTTATTGCAAACATGATGCCTTGTATAAAGGTGTCAGTTTTGTACCAGTTTAAAGGGTAAAAACCTACTACAACAACAACAACACTCGACGCATTCGCCAAAAACAACACTGCCGTTTAATAAAGGAAGATGATAACAAAGATATATAACGGGCGACGTTTCGGGCAATAACCCTTTTTCATCATACACGCAAATCAAGGTCAAGTTGTCACCATGGCCCCATGCTGCTCATGGCACCACCACCACCACCACCGCACCTCATTCAACCCCTGCGCCAGAAACCCACCGTTGTTGGTACAAAGACAAAGATCCCCCGTGTAGCCTTAACAGACTGTTGGGGCAAGTGCTGCCAGCGAGCACTTAAGCAGGCCGGTACGGTACACGAGGGTGAGCGGCCAACACCACGCCCGGCCGCCTTTGTCTCCCTAGTGGCGATGTTTACACACCGCACCAGGTACTCATTTGAGGCTGAGTCGACCTACGGGAGACCCAGGACCGGTTCAGATAATCGTCACTGACGTTGGCCGTGAGCGGGAATCGAACTCGGCTCGCCGGCGTTCGTAGCCCTGTGCGCTAACCACTACACCACCGCTCTCCAAAGCAGCACGGAACACACGCACAACACATCCCCTGTTGCACTTATAAGTGAATATTTACTCTATACCGCTGATCCTCGCTCAGATACATGCCATAGATAGTCGCGGGAGCGTAGAAGTACAGTACAACAATGCACGGCGCTGCAATGCCCCATGCTGCCCACCGAGGTAACCCCGCAGCAACTGATACCAATCATCATATGACAACCATCCTATAACAAGCAAGCATCATATAACACCCGTTCTGTAGCAACTATCATTTAACAGCCACCCTTAAAGAACAGCCTGCCACAAGCTCACTCCGTCTCGAAGCGTGCGTCAATTTACCTGTGGTCAGCATCGTGAGAAAAAAAGGGCATGCCCAAGTAATTGGCAGCTGAAATAAAATTAACGTTTGAGCGGCTTCCCATTCGCTGCTGGTGCGTCGCTCCGTCTCGCTCACCGTGAACCGTCGTGCCGAGGCTGCTCCGCGCGCCTCGCTTTATAGAGGCGAGCAGAGATGTAACCAACAACTCCAGGGCTTCCCTGAAGCTCAACACTTAGAAACGTTTGATGCGATCACATGGGGGGTGCGGGTGGGTGGGTGGGGGGGTGGTGGTCAAGGTGAGTCAGCAGCGTCCAGTGACCCAACGCCGCCAAGCCAACAACCCCAGTTCGATTATCATCAAGCCCAAGGGTTCTAATAAATAATCATCCGTGCGCCACGTGGCATATGAACTGCTCCTTGGAAGCCAAATCCACCGTCGACCGAGCAGCGTGCTGAAGGATGTTCAGACAAGCACCGTAGCCGACACGGAAGGCAGAGGACCTTCATCCAGCGGTGGATTGACAAGGGGATCAATACTCCGTTGTTATTATTGAACGGCGTGCAATATCGATGGCTCCTACTGATAACGTGTGCTTATTATTATTACTACTCGTGCAACTGTAGCTACTGCTGCTGCTGGTAATGATAATGGTGACTATGGTGATGGTAATGATGATGGTAATGATGATGATGATAATGATGATAATGATGACTATGGTGATGGTAATGATGATGGTAATGATGATGATGGTAATGATGATGATGATGATAATGATGATGATGGTGCCGTGGCTGCTGCTGCTCATTATTTTAATAATCCAGCCTTTCCCTAAATTTCCAAGGGAGCTTCCCAGGGGATCGGTTCGCATTTCCCCTTTTGCTTTCCGTCGTAAACAAAGTGACGCTGGACTCAACGCACGCGCTAAATCCTATCGACACGCCGCTGATGTGATCCTCACGCAACAACCCAGGTGGAGGCGCCTGTGCCAGGCTGGGTGCACCCACGTGGCCACGCGAAGCGTCGAAAACTCGCCCGACACGGGAGTTTTAACTGGACAAATTTCGCGTGGCGCCATGGGGTTTGACTCACCGAGACGATTGGCAGATGCACCAACAACAACAACATCAACCGCCGTTCGCTACTGAGTTGCGGTGACGCTTGTGCCAGGCTAGGTGCACGTTGAGGCCACGTGAAGTGTCGAACGCCCGCTGGCAGCAGGAGGTCACGGGGCAGACCCAGCAGGTGCCACGGGTCGACTGACTGAGATGAGTGGCCGATGCACCACCCGTGCCATGCAGCCTCTTGCTGCGCCAATTCAAGTGGATGGGCCAGGGGCAGAGGTCGCAAACGGGTTTTGATTCCTTACCCGTACCCGTACCCGGCCGCACCAGGGTCGCAAACGGGTACCCGTACCCGGCTGGGTACGGGTACCCGTACGCTACCCGTACTCTACCCGAAATGAGTGACAAACGGTTACTCACCGGTGACTCACGGCCTACCCGTACCCGTACCCGGCCGCACCAGGGTCGCAATCGGGTACCCGTGTATCGGGTACCCGGTTGTGACCTCTGGCCAGGGGTCACGCTCATATGTGCACCGGTAATTCTCGAGCTCCGTTCTCATCTATTGCGCTGGTGCCACCTTTAGGCAGCTATCCACGTGCTTTGTTCTGTCAGTTGTCCTCCGTCTCTCCCTCTCGCGTTCGATACGATCCGTCTTATTCACATGTGCGCCTTAGGCAATGGACAATTCGCGTGGCATCGATAATTATGTAAGCCCCCGTCGCAGGAGGTTTTCAATCGTTCTGGCGTTTGAGCTCCCCTCGTGTCTCAACGCGATGAAACGTGCGCAGTGGTGATTTGTTAAGCGTCGTCAATAAGTGTTTATGATTATTATGACGATGTAAATGATATATTTCAATGGCAAACATTGTGTGTGGCCACGCGCCGCTTGAGTGCGAGCTGAATGTGCCCGGTGTTAATTGCGTGTGAAATGACATCAATAAAAAGGGCTCGATTATTATTAGATGACGCTGGCAGTACAATCGGCTCCCTATGTTGAGCGTTGCGTTGTCGGGGTAAGAAGACCGCTGATGCGGTGCAGTTCGGGCAGTGAGGGACACGCCAGGGACTGGGAACCGCGGCTCTCTCGACCAAGACCCGGTTAGTCCAACGGGCTTTGTGCCATTTAAGTCTAACACGTAGTCGGGCTTTCGCGACCAATGTCATCAATAATATAGGTTTTTTTTGGAGGGGGGGGGGTTAGATTGCGTAAATATATGAATGTGTCGTTAAACCCGCCACCACCCGACACAGCCAATTAGTAAGGTCTGTCACGTGAACAAAACGTGGCCATCTTCTTGGTTCTTTCGGTATTTATTGGTCTTCGTCAGCCATGGTCAATCCACTGCTGGATGAAGGCCTCCCTAACTAGCAACTGCGAGCACCTGCACAAGTATTTTAGTGTCAAACAAAAACAACTGCCCATAGAGAGGACTGCAGACCTTGGGCAATTGTCGGTAACGCCGGTGGCTCACCCTCCTCCTGGAGTCTCTCTGCCTCTCCCTCTCTCGCTCTCTCCTTGAGAGCGAGAGAGGGAGAGAGGGAGACGTCGTGAGAATTATTTTATTATGTTAGATTTTTTATTATTTTATTATTTCCCTTCTACGTGACTTTACCGAAAGAACCAAGAAGATGAATCCCTGCAGTCACGAAAGCTTTCGAACGTGGCCAATTCGTTACTGGCACAGCACCACCGGTTGTGTGTTGGAGAGCAAATCCACAACATTTACAATCTGAGTGTACGAGTTGCCATTTCACTTTGTCGGAGGCAATCGCGTCCATTGCGATTTCAGGGATCCCGGCTCCACACCGCACCACAGAGCCGCGTGCCGAGCATGCACAGAGGGTGCCACCGGCCCTACGAACACTCGGACCGTTCGTCCACGTTGCTTTCAAGCGGTGTTCTCTCATTACAAAGCCCCCCCCCCCCGGTAGGCCACTGGCGGCCCGTGATGGCCCTTAAGTACGGCCCGGCCCCCCCCCTGACAATACACAACGAGTGAAAACACCACCCCATCATCATCATCGTTATCGTGCTGCTGTTACAAACCCCCAACAATGGTTTCAAAATGTTCTGGCGGCACCCTCACACACTGCTGATGTTTTATCGGTGGAAGTGGGGGGCTCCCCCCCCCCTCTCCTCCTCCTCTGAAAGTGAGTGAAGACCCCCAATTTAGAGAAACCATTGAAACAACGCTGCTGGAAAAAGTCACTCCAGCAAGGCGTTGTGGGGTTGATGGGATGCGTACACAAAAAATAAAAGTTTTATTTGAAGTATATCTGCAGCGGTAATGACATCGCGGTGATCAAAAGAGTGATGAGAAAATTATAATATATTCTATTTACCCTTTCTGGCAATAAAACAGGTGGGTGTTAAGATGTCCAAACACCAAACAGATACATTTTTTGAGGAATCAAGTGACTGCATTAACCACACACACACAGAGAGCACTTGCGGTGAACGTGCAAGCAAGCAAGCAAACACGAGGCTCTGATCGTGTATGGTGGCATCGTCTTTGAAACTGATCGGCCTCCACCGGTGTCAGAGCAGATAACGACAAAAGACGAGCAGTATAAGGGCAATGCCATTATCAAAGCATTCCTAGCTCGTGGTTGAGCAGCTACATCATGGGACCCTTCTTGCCATCTTTACATCTCCCGTTGTATTCGCCAGAAATGGTAAAAGCTATCCTCACGTTCCATACGTCGACACTGGCAAAAAAGGGTCCCGTGACTAGGAGCGCGATGTTCAACTCTGCGTTGATCCACTGCTGGATAAACCCCTCGCCGGAGGCCGGCAGCGCAGTGTGCGAACCGCAGCGCCACCGCTCGGAGCCCGTGTGGGCTGAGAATAGAGCGCGTGGGCTGAGAGAGTGAAGGGCACAGAGGCGGATGGGTAGCGAACATTCGTGACAGAGCAACACGTTAGTCCACACACGTGTCCTGCGCGTGTGTCTGCGGTGGAGCGGTGTGGCGCAGTTATCCGCACGCGGCACTGCGAACCCCGGCCACGTGAGTTCGAGTGAGGTCTTAGCCAGACAGCCCGCAACCACTGACCACTTCACCCACAAAAGCCGTGGTTGCCGCATGGCCAAAGAACTCCCTGGCTGTGTCAATCCAGCAGCTGGATTGACACAGGGCCGAAACATCATGATTACGATAAGCACGCGCGTGTGTGTGTGTGTGTGAGAGAGACAGAGCTGTAAGTAGTACAGGATCCACCCGAGTTCGATTCACCGCTCACGGCCACCAACACCAGTGACGATTATCTGAGCCGGTGCTGGGCCTCCCCTAGGTCGACTCAGCCTCAAAACTGAACCGTTACCTGGGCGCGGTGTGTAGACATTCCGCCTTGGCCAGCGTTCGGCGCTGACGGCTCTGGTCGAGGCGATGCGAGCAGGAGGAGGAGGAGGATGATGATGAAGGGGGGTGGTGAAGGGGATTCTTTGTCTCGCGTGCGCGCACTCGCCACTTACTTGCCCAACTTTCAGACTTCACGATGACAGCGAAGCTCCCAGGAAGGTCTCCTGCCTGCTGCTACTCGCCTGACCCCCCCCCCTCCCCAACGAAGAGTAAAACACCCTCTCACTGCCCGGGGGGGGGGCTAGGGTAGAGTTGTGGGGGGGGGGGGGGTCTTGCGTAACTCCTCCTGCCGACTATAGCCCTCCTCGCGAGTCGGGGGTGGTGTGGATGTCGTTCTCTCCCCCCCCACTTCTCTCGTCCAGACGAGGGATGATCGCGACGGCGTTGGCACCACCAGCGGAGTTGGCATCACCAGCGGAGTTGGAGCGGCGACCGACGCTTTTTTCTATCCCCTGCCGAGATGATGGCGTTCGCTGGGGGTGCCGCTCTCTGAAGTTCGCGAGGCGCGGCGAGGGAGGGAGGGAGTCGGCATCCCCGAGCTTGTGGGGGAGGACTGTCCACGTCTCTCTCTCTCGCTCTTTCCTCTTCCTCGCTCGCTCTGTCTCGCTCCCATCCGCTCTGTCTGTCTCTCGCTGTGTCTCTCTCTGTCTCTCGCTCTCATCCGCTCCGTCTGTCTCTCGCTGTCTCTCTGTGTCTGTCTCTCGCTGTGTCTCGCTCTGTCTCGCTCTCATCCGCTCCGTCTGTCTCTCACTGTCTCTCTGTGTTTGTCTCTCGCTGTGTCTCGCTCTGTCTCTCGCTCTCATCCGCTCCGTCTGTCTCTCACTGTCTCTCTGTGTTTGTCTCTCGCTGTGTCTCGCT